TAATTTTCCCCAGTTACCTCTCTTTGCATCCAGCACAATCCTCTCCCTAAGAATGGATAAAACAGGGCAGTCCCTCTGTTTAACCATTGTGCATTCAGTACTGCAGGTGTATGAATGTTTCTAAACGGCGTTTCTTCACTGCACTGCGTGGCAGAACTGCACATACAGCAGCTCTGAACACCAGGCAGGGACAAAAAGGGATGAGACCCAGGGAGTCTTCAGTTCAGACACAAAAGCTCTCCATCAGCACCATCAAATACCATACACGTAACATAACAGTGCAGCTGTTTTACCGGATATCAAATGCCTTCACGTAGGGATTAATACTGGCAACTCGGATGGTGAGGAACTGCACAGGCACGTTTGAGTCCGGGGTGAGTTCATGCTGTCTGGAGTCTGTCACTGTCAAATGAATGTCCTGCTGCTGGGCAACATGTAAACAGTAGGTGGTCACTTTAATCACCCACGTGTCCGTAACGATCACCCTTGCTCCTGGGGCTCCGGTAGCAAATTTGTCGATTCTCCTAAATTCTGTATTGATGGAGGAGGCTACTGCTCTCCAGCCCGACTGTGGGAGAGCATGAACAGCAAGTAATCGGGCTAATGGGTGATTACTCCAACCTTTCCGTGACCAGTAATATGCCAGGGCACTGGTGACTGCTGGAAGGAGAACTGCGAGGAAGAAGAAAGTTTTCCATTCTTTTGAAGCCAGGTAGAAAAAGTAAAGATGTTTTTCAGGTGCAGCAAAGCACATACCAAGGTAATAACCTAAAAATGAAAAAAATCCTTGTTTTTAGAAAACAATTAAGTACACACATAGACATATACCCCTGAACCATAGAATCAGCCTGGTTGGAAGAGACCTCAAAGATCATTGAGTCCAACCCTACCATGGTTACTAGACCATGGCACTAAGTGCCACATCCAGTCTCACCTTGAAAACCTCCAGGGAGGGTGAATCCACCCCCTCCCCTGGCAGCCCATTGCAATGCCTGACTACTCTACGTGGCTATCTAACCTGTAAGCTCACCTCCAGGAGAGCTACTGTACTTCTGGATGACTTCAAATTCAGGCTTTAGTCCTAAGCAATCTGGGGTAAATTCTTACCCTGTCACTGATTTTCACCAGAATTATGTAGCTAAATGGAGCCGATTTGAATTTGCTGGTTGAATAAAATCACCGGTGAGATGCCACTTTTACTGAATGATATACCTAAAGGAAGACGATTTGAATTGGTTGGATGAATTACCTGCGAGATGCCACATCGTTTTAGCAGAATTATACGTCTAAAGGAAGCTGATTGGAATCCCCTGCTTAAATAAAACGCTGAAAACGGGACTGCACGGCGCAGCCAGCTACTTACAGAACTTACAAAGTGCACTGCGAGCTCGGGCGACACTAGAGCAGCATTTCCACGGTGTAACCCGACTCGGCCACACCCGCAGTGCCGCGGATCCCCCTCCCGGCCCGCGCCCGGCGCCCTCACCCAGCGGCAGCAGGGAGTGTGCCAGCAGCGTGCCCGT